TAAGCAAATAAGACTGTGGTCATTTGTTAAGGCAGCAATATAAAACTAATATCAATGTCTTCAAAATTCTAAGAGAAAATGCTTTTCAATCTATTATCCTGTATTTAGACATACTGCTAATTAAATGTGAGTTTAAATTAAAGACATTTACAGGCATGCAAGATCTGAAAAGAAATGAATTCCTATGCATCTAAGCAGTCTTGGGGAACTGCTGCAAGATATGGACTTCCAAAATAAGGGAGTAAACCAAATAAGAAAAAGACAGGAACCTTGGAAACTTGCCTAGAGCTAACACTGGAGAAAGCAGAAGGGACGTCCTGGGAGAACAGGTATTCTGCAGATGTGGAGAGCAACTAGCCCATAGCAAAGCAGCATAGATAGCTCAGGCGGTCGAGGGGAACCAGTTCTGGTGGTGTCTGGCAGAGCACTTGAAATGTGTCGCCAAGTCTCAAAGCGGTTTTAACTGGAAAAATTGGAGAATTCATTATACAGAAAACTAAGCAAATAAACACAGGCAAATTTTACTTGCAGAAAAACAAAGTTCTTTTGAAAAGGAAATGTAATTGTTATATCTTGATTGCCTTGGCAGTGAACTGTATTTGCATGTTTTAATAATGCAAATATAAATGTAACTTGATTGGAAGGATGCAGGGGAGAAAAGTGAAGGCCTCGACCTCTAGGCCTCCATTTCCATTGGTTTACTGCTTGTTTGTTTATAGACCACAGGGGTACAGAACTGGATTGATCAGACTCCAATTCTGGTACTCTTTTAATGTTGGTCCATGTATGACCTGCTTTTAGCCATCTAGTTCTTTCAAATAATGTAATAAAAACCCAGGAACTCACTGCCCAAAACAAAATATAGAACGTTGACAATTATCTAAACTTGCCCCTATCCCATACTGACCCACAACCCTTTTCCACCATCTGGGGTCACCAACATTCTGAATTTGGTGTTCACAATTCCTTTGCCTTCCTCGTATTTCAGCTGATTCACAACTAGTCTGAAGACAGGGTCCCCAGTGGACTAGAAACAGAAATAGAGAAGGAGCTATTAAAATAAAGCACTATCCCCATGAAGTAGCAGATAGTTTATTCTCTGCAAGAGAGATTATAAAACCTCAAAAAAGATTCTGAGCCCCAGAGTTTTCTCACATTAAATATCATTGTTTTTTTAGTCTTTCAAAAAACAACATAGCATTGCATGTATTTCATTTCTTCCTTCCCTAACCTCTCCTTGAAATGAAAGAATTGGGGGGTGCACAGAGATACAGAAGATGCTGAAGATGCTAATGATCAGTGCTAAGGGGCTGGCAGCATCCACCTACCATCCTCAGGCTACACTCTAAGCCAGGCATGTTTCCCAGTGGAAGTTCCAAGATCCCCAATCTTCCCAGATTCCTCCCTGAATCTAGACACCTGGGAAGGACTCCTATCACCATAGAGATCCCTGTGGCACATCACAGCAAGCTTAGTAGCAGTGAGGGTTTAGTGTAGCTCCACCTGTGCTACCTGAGGATCTTGAGGCCCAGGCTGGCTATGGAATGGCTGTTTTTCTTGGCAACCTGCCATGATCAGTGATATAGCTTAGATATTTGTCCCCTCCAAATCTCATGTTGAAATTTGACCCCCAATGTTGGAAGTGCAGCATGGTGGGAAGTGTTTGGGTCATGGGGACAGGTCCCTCATGACCAGCTTTGTGCCATCCTTGTGGTAATGCATGAGTTCTCACTCTATTAGTTCCTGGGGGAAGTGATTGTTAAAAAGAGCCAGGCACCTCCCTCCTCTCTTGCTTCCTGCCTCTCATCATGTGATGCCTGGTGCCCTTCACCTTCTGCCATGAATGGAGCTTCCTAAGGTCCCACACCAGTGGCAGATGCTGGTGCCATGCTTCTTGACAGCCTTCTGAACTGTGAGCCAAATAAATCTCTTTTCTTTATACATTACCCAGTCTCAAGTATTCCTTTATAGAAACTCAGAGTAGACTAAGACAGTCAAGCAGGCTTCAGCAACTTAGGAGTCACTTAGAAGCTTTTTTGGAAGACAATTCTAACCAGAATTGACCTCACAAAGCAGCCATAGATCTTGCCTGTACTAAAACAATGGATTCCTTGACCACTGAGCTGCAAGAGGCCTTGGAGTGCATCTAGTCAAGCATTTCCCAAAGTATGTAACTCAAGCACTAGATGTTTAGGATGGTTGATAGATTTTACCCAAAAAGTGTCATTTAATGAGGGAAATGTGAAGAATCCTAGATTTTTTAAAAATTAAGATTCTATTCTACATACCTTCTCAGAACCTAATCTCCAAGAGGGTGGCTTATTCCCAGTTTAGCTGTGCATGATCTTTAGCAGGTTACCTAAATTAGCTGAGCCTGTTTCCTCATCTGCATAATAAGGCCCACCTGGGAGGACAGCTGTGCAGGTGAGTGAGATAATGAGCTCAGAGGCATTTAGCACAATACCTCACGTAGACAGTGGTAACACATTCTTAGTTCCTTCTCCTTCTCCTATGCCTTTCATTTTTCTTTCAAATTTTTCTCTACGCTTAACAAATTACCCCTATTTACAAACTTCTGTGAAATTGTTTGAAACTAATTTCCTTTACTCTGAATGGCTTCAGGTAATTACGTATGTAATGAAAGCTTACTCAGCTTACCTGGTAGGACAGCAGGACCCCAGGCTACCGGGGGCCGAATGGTAAACACAGGGAATGTGGTGTGGACCCGCACACTGGCAAGTGGGAGAATCACTCTCAAGGCTTGAGTGGCAGCTTCGCCTCATCCTGAGTCACCGAGGAACAGATGCAGTCCCAGGTTAAAACATGCAGCGCAGATTTATAACCACAAAAGAGGGAACTTGGGCAGCTGATTAATGGAAGAAACACTAGACGAAGAGGCAGAGGTTCCTCAACTGGCTATTTACTTTCTCAGAGCTTGAATCTCTGCATCTGTAAAATGCAGAGTTGGGTAGATACTCTTCATGCTCCCTTCCTCTAATCCCTGCTAACCCCATCTTAAAGGTTACCAGTTGTGACATAATTGCAAATCCAAGAGGCACAGCCCACACACCTGAAATAAATTTTATTGAGATGAGTAATTTACAATAAAACACTTTGCAGCACATTGGAAAAACTCATGTTTCACAAATTTTACATTCACAAATACAAGTCACTTTTGCTCAAAGGCACACAGGGACCTTGGGGAGGGGACAGACCTAATGAGCCATCAGTGGGTGCTCCCCAAGAAAAGGGTTTTCTCTGAGACTTGGCAGTACCAAAGGTCCCTGACTAATGATGGTTCAACTTAGGATTTTAAAAAAATTTATGATGATGTGAAAGCAATACACATTGAGTAGAAACCATACTTTGCATTTCCATACAACCATTCTGGTTTTCACTTTCAGTACAGTATTCAATAAATTACATGAGATGTTCAATACTTTATTATAAGATAAGCTTTGTGTTAAATGATTTTGCCCAACTGTAGGCTAATAGAAGTGTTCTCAGCACATTTAAGGTAGGCTTGGCTAAGCTACGATGTTCAGTAGGTTGGGTGTATTCAATGCATTGCATTTTCCACTTCCAATATTTTTGACTTACGATTGGTTTATTGAGATGTAAGTCAAGGAGCTTCTATATTCCTAGACACTCTCAGAAAGGAGTGAAGTGCAACATCCTCCATGCTTCCCAGAGCAGGACAAACCTGTATCCCTGCTGCCTTGTCTCATTCTGGTTCACAGACTTTCTATGGCAACATTCAGATGAAATCATTAGCTACTTCTTTACACGGCAGAGACAATAAGTACAGACACATGAGCCATTTGTCCTGAAAAATCCATTTGGGGATCCCTGTGCGCTTAGAAGACTCTCTCTGTCCAATGAAAGTCACAGTTTTGTCCATAATTCAGTAAGTGAGTTTTCAAAATTTTGTGTCTTGAAAATTTTCAGCCATCTTCATAGATAGAAAGTAGGATAATGAACCCTCATAGTTCATTATATGGAAGCAGATGATGTGACCAAGTTCAGTTTCAATCAACAGCCAAGAGGTCTAAGTGACAAACTCTTCCTCCCTCAAACCTTAGTTTCCTACTGAGCTCATATCCATGCTTTGCTTTCAGGGTTCATCTGGTGCTAGAAGGAAACCTATAAACCAATGCTAAACCTCCAGGGCTAACCTAGTTAACAGTAGCAATTGTTTAGAGCAGGTGAATTAAGCTGGATTCTGCCTGACAGGTCTATTTTCTGGTGACACACTGAGCCACTCAGGACCAGATGGAAGGTGATAAAAAACAATCAGTCCTTGGAATGAGATTTCTCTGGCAAGTTAGACCCTTGAGTGTTAAGGTTTCTTAAGGATTCCATAGGTTTCTGAAAGCGAAAGTGACACCTGAACCACTAAAATGATGTTGACAGCAAGAACCCTCATTACTCAGACAACACAGAGAAACGACTTGTCTAGACAGCTTGGAAGAATGAGGTGTCTAAGCACAATTACTCTCAGCATGTTGGAAAGCCTGCTCCCTCATCTCTTGTGAAAACAGAACAATTTTTCACCACCTTTTGTTTTTGCGTGATTGCGGGGGAGAAGGAATCATGTCTCCCGGTTGAGTTTGATTCCCTGGATCATCTTGAGGCTGCTCTGAGGAGGAGCATGTGAGTCAGGCCCTTCCCACCACTGTCTACAGCAGGGGCCAGCTCTGCCTGCGTGGTAACAGGCTTCACCTTGGGTTTTCTCACCTCTTCAACTCTTCTGGTGGACACCCCTGGGAAAGGTGGTCAGAAATATTTTGCTGTGCCCCTGTTTCTTATCATTACAATCTAAATGAAAAAGCATAAATGAAAAAAAAATTTCATCCAAACATGCACACAGTCACATACACAAAGGAAAACATTGCAGATACAGCCACAGCATGTTCACAGATGTTATCACAAATTGATGGGATAAGAGAGTGGTGTGTGTGTGTGTGTGTGTGTGTGTGTGTGTGCGCGCGCGCGCGCGCTTTTCTGAATTTTTCTAAGTGGCAATAATAATTTCCCTTTGTTTTAAGGAACCCAAGTTGGTCCTTTCTTGTCTGGATATTGGTAGGCCACTGAAGACTTGTGATTCTTCATGGCCCAGTGACTCCAGAAAGTGAGGCATGAAAATCTCCATGCCAGCTCTGGCTTGCTGGCATTTCCCTGGCCTGTGCACCTGTTTCAAGCAGAGCTCTGTGCATCTGGGTCACCATACCCAAAGTATGATTCAGGTCTCCCTTTTGGATGCTCAGCAGTAGGGAAGGCTGTAAGGCAGCAGCTGCCTCACAGATGGAGGCAGTTGAATGATTCAGCCCCTATCTGGGCCAAAGTTGTCCACCGTCCACTTCCTCAGAGATCCAGGCTGCTATACCTCCAAGTGTGGTATGTCTTAGATGGGAATTTATGAACACATGTCTAGTTGGTGGTGCCTTTTAGTTTTCACATCACATGGGGCTAGGAGGCTAGACAGTTTCCTAGGAAGTGAAGAGTCCTACAGCTTCTGCAGGAGTGTGTTTCCAGCACTCTCAAGATCATGTGTGAGAACAGGTTCTCTTTCTCTGCCTCAGATGGAGATAGACCCCTCCCATTGCCTCTTTCCTACCTCCTCTAACTCATCGTCACAATGGGTTCCACAGATGACAGATCCGTCTTCCCAGACTGGAGTTGGGACGTGGGCAGGAGGTTATTGGTGAGGGGAGCCCTCTGGCCATCACTCTTCTCTGTCCAGGCCACCCTGAAAGAAGGAACCGGGGAGGGCGGCCTCTCTTCCTGAGGCTTGGGAGGTCTTTGGCACATGTTCAGTAATGCCTTTAGCTCAATCCTGAAGTTCTCGTTCAGCCAGCAGTATATGAAGGGGTTGTAGCAGGTGCTGCTCATGGCAAACCAGTGGAAGGCAAAGTAGAGGGCGTTGTTGGTGCGGATGACCTTGCTGGACAAGAGTAGGACGTAGCAGTTGAGGGGGAACCAGCAGAGGGCAAAGAGGACTACCACCAGCATCAACATCTTGATGGTCTTCTTCTTTTTGCGCCGCAGGGCAAGGTACTGCTCTGTGGTCACATCGCCAATCGTGTTACACAGCCACAGTTTCTTGGCCACACGAGCGTAGGCCACAGAGATGATGAGGAGGGGCAGGATGTAGAGTAGGATGAAGGTGGCCAAGTCCAGGTACTTCCAGAAGAGGTCAGCTGGCTCAGGGAAGTCTGGCAGGCAGAGGGAGCGCACAACATTCTCGCTGGGGGCAGGAAGCCGGAAGGCGGAGAGAGTTAACAGAGAGGTGATATTAGTGTGGAAAGCCTTCATCCCAAGAAGCATTGGCCTCTCCTTCCACCGGGCTCCTGGTTCATCCATCTAATATAGCACTTTTGATGCTGTAGCCTAATTACCTGATTACATTTCTTCCTCCCCGACTAGGCTGGGAATTGCATAGAGATAAATAATACACCTGAATTTCTCTGTGTTCTCCTAATCTTGTGTTATTCCTAGCCCATAGTAGAGACCCAAAAAATATTTGTTGAATAAATGAATGAAACACTCATGTTCTCAGGTTGAAAACTAACTCATCCTTGAGGAAATCTTAGACTTTCCCATTTAAAAGTGAAAAACTTTTCCATTTTAAAGGGAAAACTAAGGCATGAACAAAAGAAATGATGGGTCTTGAGCATATGAGTGGTAAAGCCTGAACTAACATTCCCTTCAGCCACTCACAGAAAAAGTATTTATTTTATATGGAATGTACCCCAGTCCTCTTCAGCCTTTTAAGGAATGCCCATGTGGCTTGGTGCTCTAGTTCTACATGCTGGTGGCCATCACTAACAAAAGAGAGAGGAAACTTCCTGTATTTTTTGTTAGGGGGAAAAAAAGTCCTCCATATGGAAAGGTAGAAGGGCAGTTTGGATGTTGGGGCGTCTGGATGTGTGATTCATTTCACTGTCCTAGAGTCCCTGGAGGGGGCCTTTATAAATTAGTTGAATTCTGCCTTCTGGGCTTGTTTCTCTTAACCCTGCTTTTGTCACAGGGGTGTGTGTGTGTGTGTGTGTGCGTGTGTGTGTATACATTATAGATGGGGTGGCGCATGCCTCCTGTGGCAGACATCCCCTGGATTCCCTCAGAGCCCGCCCCTTTGATAGTCAGGAGAACTAACCCCGGCCCTCCCACAAGAAACAGCTGGTACTTGTCATCTTCTAGTGCTTAGGACTTCCCTAAGGCCACTCAAGACCTTTCCCACAGATTCACTACAGCCGTAAGTGACCAGGAGTTTCCAATTTTCCTAGGAAGACCTGTAACAAAAGACTGAGAGACGGAGGAACAGGAAAGCCCAGCTCCCTGGCCTCAAGGTGAGGCAAACTCTACACTCTCAGTCTCCTCCAGAGCCCCCTGCAGAGCAGGGGCAGCTTCCCCTAAAATCACACCCTTCCTTGGTCTCTTCCTGGTCCCTGTCCAGCCTCTGCCACTCTTTCCCATTGCTCCTGGGAGCACTGCCTCAATTAGCCACTTGCAGGTATACCTGCCTTTACCATAATACCTGTCTCTAAGGAAGCTCATCTAAAACAACAAATGACAAATCACTCTAAGAGGCTGGGTGCAGTGGCTCACACCTGTAATCCCAGAACTTTGGGAGGCCAAGGTGGGTGGATCACCTGAGGTCAGGAGTTCGAGACCAGCCTGGCCAACATGGTGAAACCCCGTCTCTACTAAAAATACAAAAAATTAATTGGGTGTGGTGGTGAGCGCCTATAATCCCAGCTACTTGGGAGAATGAGGCAGGAGAATTTTGAGCCCCGGTGGCGCAGGTTGCAGTGAGCTGCGATCGTGCCATTGCACTCCAGCCTGGGCAACAGAGCGAGATGTCTCAAAGAAGAAAATCACTCTAAGATCATTCATTCATTTAGTAAATATGTACCGAGGGCTTGTTATGTGGAGACAGTAAGCTAAGTGTTGGGATCAACAAGATAACAAAGAAACGGCCAGTTCTTTCCAAACTGACAGTCCAATAGGGAGATCCCCTAATGAACCAGTTTAAGCTTTAAAAAACTGAGTGTTGAAAGAAAGCCATTCTCATTCAGTGAGAACTATGATAAACATGTGAGAGGTCGGGGTGGGAGAGAAGCCTGCCTCAGGTGCAGGCAAGCATGCAGATTTTGTCTGCAGGTAGTGTGAAAGGATTTACACCTTGCTCCTTTTCAACAAGGCCTTGGTGACTCAGATCTCAGGCTGTGTGAGTACAGCACCCTGGTGACAGAAGCTGATAATTACCACTTTGTCCTTGCAGAGAACCCAGAAAGAGAATAAGGAAGAAGCTAAAGAAGAGAGAAAGCAGACAAAATGTAGAGGATAGGCATGGACCAGGAGGTAAGAGGATGGGAGTGAGGCAGAGAAGGGCTCAGTGAGGCAGGGCCTAGTTACTCAGAGAGTTGTGAGCTCCTGGGGGCCTCAGGTATCCCTTGGTTGAGCCTGACTCGGGAGAAGACACGAGTGCCCAGGCCGATCCCTACAAATTCATCTCACCTGTATTTGAAGGTAAATAATTTCTGGCAGATAGCGTGTGGGAGTGAAAAGAACGTAGCCATGGTCCAGATGACAGCGATGTAGATGACACCCTTTGTGATTGAGATCCGGGGTTTCAAGGGATGCATAATGACCTGGAAAACAAGCAAACCGCATCATTAACTGAAGACGTTTTGGAACAAATCAGAAATCTGGGCCAGGTGCAGGAGCTCACGCCTGTAATCCCAGCACTTTGGGCGGCTGAGGCAGAAGGATCACTTGAGCCCAGGAGTTCTAGACCAGCCTGGGCAACACAGTGAGACCCTGCCTCATAATAATTTTAAAAATTACATAAATATATAAAAAGAAATCTGGATGGCACAGCTCACTTGTCACATAAGGCAGGCCCTATTGATAAAGTCAAGCACCACTTATGTTCATTACTGAGCCTCTGAGCTATACCAGGTAGCTGCTGAAGGAGAGGAAGCCCAGCCATGCCCCACCTAATAGCCTGCCTCCAGAGGTGGGAAGAAAGGGTCTTCTGGATTCAGAGACCCCAGGCAGGTCATACTCAGGCAGGTCATACATCTGCCTCTTGCTGGTCATACTCAGCCTGAACCAGGGTCCGGTGAGAGGACCAGGAAGGCCCGGGAGGAAGGCTGTTCACATGGCACCAGAGCAAGTCTGGGAGAGAAGAAAAACTCATGGTCATCTGAGGGACCTGATCATCTTCCCATGATTCTAGACCCGTTAGGACCAGAGCAAGTCTGGGAGAGGAGCAAACCCACGGTCATCTGAGGGACCTGATCATCTTCCCATGATTCTAGACCCGTTAGGACCAGAGCAAGTCTGGGAGAGGAGCAAACCCACGGTCATCTGAGGGACCTGATCATCTTCCCATGATTCTAGACCCGTTAGGACCAGAGCAAGTCTGGGAGAGGAGCAAACCCACGGTCATCTGAGGGACCTGATCATCTTCCCATGATTCTAAACCTGTTAGGACCAGAGCAAGGCCAGGAGAGGAGCAAACCCACAGTCAGTCCCACCTCCTCAGGACCTGCGTTCATCTTCCCATGATTCTAGACCCCTTAGGTTGTGATAGACTCCGATAAGGTCTGAGCTGACAGACAGGAAGAGGCCATTCTCATCACTCTTCCTGGCAAGCTGCACGGACACTTATGTGTGAGCTCCCAGCACGTTTATGAAAGCCGTTACTAAAATCGCACCAGGGCCCAGCTCTCATACACCTATAATAAAGTCAGTGTTACAAGCTTCAGGCTGAAATGCATCTTGGAGTTGCTACTGTATGTCAATCAATTCTCCCAAAACGTTTAAATAAAGACTTAGGGATTTTAAACCATCCATCCTCATATTAAAATGAGAAACACTATGTTTTGGAAAAGGCATTTTGGGATAGGTGAGTCCAGGGTCAGGAAGAAGAGGTGAGGAAGAGCTGCCACCACCTCTAAATGCCATCCCAGAACGCACTGGACCTTCTGGCTGTGTCCTGATTTTTTTTTAATTCCTCTCAATGTTTTGAAGGTTTTATAAGAAGAAGCAATGAGGCTTCAGATGCTGCCAGCACATCTCCGTTCTGGATTCAGCCATCTCTGCCCCTCACACTCCTGTGTTCAGATTGCTGAAGGGAGTGGCAGCCTGGGCCAGAGACTCCAAGTACTTCTCAAGGTCTCCGCTGGCCTTGGGACAGAGCCCCTTGTTGGGGTATATGTTGCAGCAACATGGTCAAAATAAGCAAGGCTTAGCCCCCATTCCTCAGACTCAACCTTAGCCCATGGTCAACACTCGGCTGCATTAATCTGGGGTAAGCACAGGCCAGATAAAGGTAATCCGAAGTCCTTCTAGATAAATGAAAGCACATGGTTATGAAAAGGCAGGAAATATTTATATGCAAACTTTTCACACTTTACACTAAACCACTGCAACGTAAATTAAGAGTTGATTCTTACAAAATTATGGCATTTCAAAGATAAGTGTTATCTCTAACCTGCAATTACTCCTCTCTCCTTTTCTGTGATTTTCCAGGTTTGCTTTTCTATCCTCAAAACAAACTCACTAATTTCTGAGACAGAAAAATGCCAGCAATGAGTCTTCATCGGATCAACAAAGAAGAACTTTTTGTGACCATTAGGACAAAGGGTTTAATATCCGTAACATGTTTTCATGTTGATCAATAAGAATATAAAGATACTCACTGAAAGCTGGGCTAAAACCCTGTCTTCAGAGCCCCTGCAACTTCCTGGAAAAGGGAAGCAAGAGAGGGAGGAGCAGAGCATTAGAGGTAGGTGCCCTCACCTGGTGGCGGTCCACTGCAATGGCTGTCAGCGTCAGTGCCGAGACGTGCAGGGAGCAGTACTGGGCAAAGCGGCTGACGTGGCACATGCCCTTCCCAAACACCCACGTGCTGTTCACAAAGCGAACCTGGAGATGAGGCCAAAGACATTAGGAGACAGGCCTTGACTTTGACACCCATCCCCAGAGGTCTCTGAGAAGCATGCCTTCGGGAGGATTCCTCCAGCTCCTCCCTTCTTTCTGCCTATGATACTGAACTGTGGAGTAAACAGGATTTTCTCCAGCACAACTCATTTTCATTCATTCAATTCAACAATCCCTGCCATGCTTAGGTGCCAGGTGAGCTTGTAAAGGATGTGGGCTTTGGAGTTGTACTTCCCACCTCTCATAGCTTCTTGCTATGAGGCCTTGGGCAAAATAGGTAACCTGAACCTCAGTTTCATTTGCAAAAAAAAAAAAAAAGCCCTCAAAAACCTCTGCCGTTTAAATTTTTTCAGCGTCTGTAAAGGGTAAAACATAATGTCTGGCAGATTGTTCTGCTATTATTAGAAGTAAATAGTTGCTATTTTTATGTGCAGTCATAAAATTCATTCTTGGTCCACACAAGTTCACTCTAGTGTGGGAGAAACGCCTGAATTGTCACAACATAGCATGTGGGCTGTGCCGGCAAATCTTGGCTAAACTGGCCTTGTAAGTCATCATCTGGGGAGGAGACCCAGGGACCTGGAAAGGTGTGGACAGGTTTGGGGAGAGAAGACAAGCTCCCCAAACTGTGTAGGGCTCTAGAAGCAGGCCCAGTCCTTATCCCACATCACCCAGCACTACTTACTCATTCAATTAGTACTTGAGCAGCTCCTGTGAGTAATGTCCCATGCCTGAGAGAGATCAAGCATTGATTTTGATAAAGGAGTTTGCAGCCAGGGCAGAGGAGGGCTCAAGTAACTCAAGTGCAAGACAGAAAGTAATCAATGCTCTGTAGAAACCCAGACAAAAAGCCAATGGGGCCATCAGATAGGGATGGGAGTGGGCAGAGGTACAGAAGCATAGAAATAGAGCAAGTCGGCCCAAGAGGAGTATAACGTAGTGACTTACAGCAGAGTGTTTGCCACTGAGCACTGTGGCCTTGGGCAAGACAATGGGCCCTCTGAGCCCCACTTTCCTCATCTGTAAAATGGGCTAACCCTTTTCACATGGTTGTTAAATCATTCAAGATTGATAACATGTAAAGGAGGTACAATAGTGCCTAGTACATAGCAGGTAATTATCACTATCAATTGCCATTACTATGACATATGAGACATTTAAACTGAGGAGGGATTTGTGCATGTGGAGATGAGGACAAAAGGCACTGGCACTAGATCAGAAGTTCCAGGACCTGTTTGGGGAATAAGGAGTGGATTGGTTTGTCTGGAGTGTGTGAACGAGAGTTATCACAAGTCTGGCCAGATCTTGAAACTAGGACAACAGACCAGGGATTTTACTCTCTTTGTGGAAGTCAGGGAGGAGCCATTGAGGCTGTTGAGCAGTTCAGTAACAATATAGAGCTAGAAATCTTCAGCTATTCCTCCTTCTCATTTCCCCACATTGGAATTACCAAATCTAACCAGTTTTGCCTCTCACTGGTTTTTAAAACTGTTCCCTCTTCGTGCTAAAGCCATGGGCTTCGTGGGATACCCCATCATCTCTCCCTTGGACTATTACAGCCTCTGAACAGCTTTCCTCATTCTCTGGGTTTGTTCCCTTAGAATTCAGCCTTCACACTGCTGACAGCATTTCTGCTAACCACAATCAGATTGTTGTCGCCTTCCTGCTTGGAAGCATCCTGGCTCTTAGTGGGACAGAGTATCCAGGCCCCTTCACAACCTGGCCCTGCCTTCCTTTCTGGCCACCTCTGCTTCCCTCTCCCCTGCCCACTCCTCCATTGCTTCCTGCTGCTCCAGCCTCATTGAGCCACTCAACATTCCCTCAACATACCATGAACTTTGATGCTTCAAGGTCTTTGTTCTCCCTGGTCCCTCTGTCTGCCCTAAGTGTTCATCTCGACCTGGGAAATTCCTACTCAGCCAGGTCTTCTTGAAATGTCACATTCTTTGTAGTCTCCTTGGACCCTCTCATGGGACTCTGATGGGTCAGAATGAAAGAGGCCCCCTCCAGGATCTACTACATTCTGTGTGTGTCTCTGTCTACCATGGGAACTGTCAGTAATTGTCTGCTTTTCTGTCCATCATTCAGAGCTGGGCTTCATGCTGACTGCAGTAGATGAAGTGGATAGGAAGGGAGGTCAGAGAGGAAGGATATTGTTGCCAATCAGCCAAAGGCAGGGGTGCCTGTCCTAGTTGGGGGGCCTGTGCTCAGTAGCTGAGGGGTTGGAAGCCACTCCCCACAACCTTTTCTCTTTCCTACCTGCCAGCACCTTATAAGCTGTAATTAGAGTTTGGATTGGGGGGATCTTGATGAGTCAGGTTCAAGGCTAAGCTGCTTTGGCTCATACTGGAGGGGGTGCTGGGTTCTCAGGACCTTGACATCCCTTCTCTTGTAGAAGATTCTCTGGGGCAGGCATTGCCAGCTCTCAGGTATAGCCTGTCATTGAGTTTGTGGTCTCCCTACCTCTTCTTGTGTCTGCTGCTGATCCAGCCCTGTATCCTGGCTCTGGGCAGCAGCAAAAAAAGACCATGTTCTGTGGCTTCCAAGTTCCCAACCTGGGTGGCCCAGCCCAGCCACACCATTGTAGGTTCTTAGGACAGAAACCAAGGGAGGGGTCAAAGGGAGCCAGGATGCTGTTGTCTTGTGCTTTGAGACGTACAAGGAGAAACGGAGTATTTGCAAGTCCACTCATCCTTGGGTAATGCCCAGGGGATATTGAGCGGCCATCAGTACATTAGATGTAGGCTGAAAGGAGATCGGAACAAGTCCAGGGTTTGGAGTAGCAGAAGCTAAACATGGTCCAAGAGTGTCTGTCACTCCCAGCTGGCTGGCTTAGTTGGACCAACCTCTGGACTTGAGTTAGGGGATGGAATTCTCATCCTGGCTCTGCTAACTACTGGCCAGGTGGCTTTGGACAAGGGACCGAACCTCCCTGTGCCCTAGTTTTCTCATCTGCAAAATGTGAGTAATATTCTAATAGGTGAGGACTAGAAAGAGAATGTGAGGGTAATTTTTCAATATAAAGTCTGGAAGGATGTTTACCCAGGTGGATACACTGATGGGGGATCATCCTGTGTTTTTTACTTGTCTGTTATATGTGGTTATGTGTGTATGAGAGAGAGAGTGGGGAGAGAGACAGAGAGGGATTAATAGATTACTGCACTGGTAATCACTCAAATAACAAAGTTACTCCAAAAGAAGAAAAACTATAACACACTAGAGAAACATGCAGTATAACTGTCACTATGGTTGCTCAGTCATCGCCCTCACAGTCCCAAATTATCCATGAGAGCCTCACTCCTGGGTCACAGCAGGACACTACCAATGCTAAGTAGCCAGGGCTTGGGGAGGAATCCCATCAGCTGCCAATGTGAAAAATGCCCCCAGCCTGCCCCATCTCTGGGGCCTAAGCCCACCTTCCCTCAATTCTTCAACACAAACCTCAAACACAGCCTTATTATCAAACCACAGAAGGGAAATGCACTTTAAATAAGTGGTCTAGGAAAATGCACTTAATGTTCCATGAACAATTAGCAATTGTTTGATATTTCAGTTGTAGCATAAAGCAGCATCCCATGGGTTCGGGTGGGCACCGAATAGGCTGCACTTCGGAGGAGGGGGACCTGATCATCTCTGCTGACATTTCAGGGTCACTGATTCACTGCTCAATTATCAACCTAGCCCAGACCCAGTGAGATGAAGCAGGAAACGGTCATTCATTTCAGCTGGCTGCAGAGGCTCAAACCATTGACTCAATGCCACTGACCCAGAAGCTCTGGCTTAGAAGGTGATGAGACAGAAAGAAGTGGGGAGGAATCAGAGAGTGGGGCAAGGGAGAGAGAAGAGAGGAGAGGTGGGGAGAGGAGAGGGGAGAGAACAGAAAAACAAAATCACAGAGAGACTGACAAGAAGAAAAAGCAATAAAATGAGGAAACAGAGAGAGACAAATAGGGACACAAAGAAAAAAGAGAACACTGATAGAGAAGAGAGATGGAAAGACCTCAGAGAGCGAGACAGAGACTGAAAGAGACTAAGAAAAACAGGAGAGAGACAAGAACCAAAATGACGGAGAAAAGAGACTAGGACAGGAAGACAGGGCAGAGGAGAGGAGAAATGAGGAAAGAAACAGACGTGGAGAGAGAAGTGGCGACCCACAGTGAGACACAGAACGTCAGAGGGAGGCGAGGGAATTGAGAGACGAGAGGGGGAGGAACAGAAGGTGGGGCGACAGGCGGCGGGCCCCTTACCAAAGTGAAGGGGGTGTTGAGCAGTGTGATCATGATGTCGGCGACCGCCAGGTTGACGATGAAGAGGCTGGTGGCCGAGTGCATTCGCTGGTTCTTGAAGATGACATGACAGACCAGGACGTTGCCAAAGAGTGAGAAGACGATGATGAAGGAGTAAGCCACGATGAGCAGGGTTTTCACCGTGGGGTTCTGGGACTCGGCGCCGTAGCGTCTCCTGCCCACAAAGTTCTGCCAGTCCGAGAGGGTGTAGTTGTTCCAGGAGAAGTGCGAGGCGTTGGCCACGCCCAGGGCCGCCTCGAGGCTCTGTTCGTCGTCCCGGCCCTCGTGGGGCTCGGTGGCTCGCACCAAGGGGAGGAGGCAGAGCAGCACCAGGTGAGGGACCATTTTGCAGGAGCCACCCCTCCCCTGGGAGCCTGCGGGCCGGCGTCCCTGCCCGCCGGGCTCCGAGTGCACAGCCGGGGTTCAGGGCGCAGAGCGCGCAGGGTGGTCCTGCGGACCAGGGAGCCCGGACCCGCGGAGCACCGCGCCGCCAGCCACCAGCCCGCGCTCGGCACGCCAGCTCGGGGCTTGTTGGAGCACTTTTCTATCTCTGCTCCCACCAGGCTGCTAGGAAGCGCCTCCGCCTATTGGGCAGCGCGGCGTCTCTCTCGGCGACGGTGACGCTCTCCGGCTCTGACAAGCCTGACTCCCCCCACCGTGCTGGGTGGCGCCGTTGCTGCCCCCACGCCCAGCCGCTCCCACTCCCGCCTGAAACTCCTCCGACAGGGGTTCGGGGGCTCTGTGCCCAGCGCGCACACGCTCGCGTGGTGTCTGCTTAGCCTCTTGTAAAGGAAGCAGACAGGCAGGTGGGAGGAAGCCCACCGCGGCATTTGGGATGATGAGGGGCACGCTGCTAAAGCCGGGTCAGTGACAAGGATATATTCATTTGTTTCCACCTAAGCCTTAGCCTTGGCACAGTTTCAATGTCGAAGTGGATCGCTGGCGTCCTGACGGTCCCAGGAACAAGGCAAACCAAAAAATAGAGACATTAAGGATTCTCCAAATCCCCCGAGTATCCAGTTATCAGAGGTGCTGGAGCGCTTATTAAAGGTTGTTTCTTTGACAGCTCCCAGGAATGCAAGGTGGGGAGCTTTGTTTTTCAAGGGAAGTCTTCAAAGCAGTTCTGATAGCATCAAAGAAGCAAAGGAGGAGTTTAGCTATGTGCTCCCCACTTGGGTAACTGAGTTTTTCTGCCACGGAAGTCCGTGAAGCTGTATCTTTAAGGGGTATTATGACCCTGGCTGTTTTTCATTCCCCACCTACTTCTTCAGGAAACCTTGCTATCCTTGCTCACCTGTTTTCACTTCCACTGTGAAAACTCTCCCAGTCACTTGTCCTCTGCCACCCACATGCCTGACCCTGTGGTTAAGACCATGGGGTCTGGAATTAGGGTCTAATCCCAGCTTGGCCCTTCCTAGCTGTGAAATCTTCAAGCCATTTAAATTTTTTGGCCTTCGTTAAGAGGTTTTCTTTTCCTAAATGTGAGGTTTTCAGAGACACCTGTATACATCTCTCACTGTATTGCCCTCTGGTGCAAGAGATGCAATATCTGTTTGACTACTTGTAACCCCTGACCCCCAACAGGAAACACCATGTAGATTCTTTCCATTGCGCCCTGAGGAGAAGTGTCCTTGGGCTGGGACCCAAACAATGACTCAAGCCTAGGTATCACTCTTGTCTCCAGTTTTTCACTTCACATTTATTCTTCAAGCAACTGTGTCTGGAGGAAAGGATGACTAGCCGATACCCTTCAATTAAACTGAAGGACCTGGCAGGTCTCACAGGATTAAGTGGCTGAAATAGGGGATTATGTGACAGATTCTAGAAGGGACAAGGTGCTAGGCTGATGAAACAATACATCTTTAGCTTCAGGAAGTAAAACAAGAGACTGCCTGTAAACACTTAATTCAAAGCTTGGGTAGATGTGCTGCTCCACCAAGATGACTTGGCATCATCTTAGGGCGGCAAGGCTGGAATATGATTTTTATTTAGAAAACAGACTCCTAGTCAATCAAATTTCAAACTGTGCCCAGTGTCAAGAAAGAGCGTGTGGATAGGAAAGGAATAGTCAGCGTCAAGCTTAGAGAAAGAAGTCAAAGGGAGCCAGTGCCCTTCCAAGCACTCTCTTCCAAGTACCCCAGCAGGTGCTTGCTAGCCGGTATATTTGTAATCTGGGCCACCTAACTAATGTCTTCACTTTGATTCCCTGCTCATCATGCCTACCTTGAAAGTGTGAGGGCATTTATGCCAGAAGCCTTAAACATCCTTTCTGAAAGAAAAGGTGAGGCATTTTAGTTCTTAGCTTTCCCCAAAAGCATCTCCTGAGACAAAGACTCTAGTGAGGGGGCTTATTTGGGAGATGAAAGCAAACACCAATAGGGAAGTGAAGAAATGTGACAAGAAAGGGAAAGGAACCAAAAAACAGTGCTGTCAAGCCAGCTACCACTGTGGGTGACAAGCTGAAGCCTGCTAGGAAGCCAGTGTAAGGCGTACACATCAGCTACTCAAGCCCAGGGGTGACAGAGCTGTGATATCCATACTCCACCTCCTGTTAGTCACTGGATGAAGGCTTCCCCCAGGGGTGGGCTCCTTCTCCCAGGATTCTCCTGAACTTCTGGCCTGACAAGTGGACAGCCAAAATGGGCTCCAGAGGCAAAAGAAGGTCTCGGGCAAACAAATGCTACTGCTGGCAGTTACAAGTTGCACTGGCGTGCTCTGAAGGAGGAGGCCATCCTGAGAAAATCCAAAGGTAGGCATGAGGTCTGAAATCACTTCCTCTTCCTCTTCCCCAGGCATTCAGTTCTCCACTCAGCCAGGCCTGGGCCTTCTGAGCCCTGCCAAGCCCTCCTCTCAGCCCAGTACCACCAACTTACCCTGAACTTCTGAAACCAGAGTTCTTTAATAAAATAAGAATATCCCCCGACTTATCCCACAGGAAGTCTGAGGTGTTTTTTTGTTTTTTTTTTTTTGAGACAGAGTTTCGCTCTTTTGCCCAGGCTGGAGTACAATGGCGCAATCTCAGCTCAACACAACCTCTGCCTCCTGGGTTCAACGAATTCCCCTACCTCAGCCTCCCAAGTAGCTGGGATTACAGACATGTGTCACCACACCTGGCTAATTGTTTGTATTTTTAGTAGAGACAGGGTTTCCCCATATTGGTCAGGCTGGTCTCGAGCTCCGGACCTCAGGTGATTTGTCCAAAAGACTGAGTTATTAAAAGAAGTTTTTTCCTCAGAGGTGTTATGGGTCCTGTAAATCACTGTTGTTGTTACTAAGGTGTTACGGGAAGACACAAGCAGCTCTTACAGTGAACCAGTCTCTTTTGTACATTACAAATAAAACCAAGGACACTGAATAGTCAGTCTGTGCCAAATAGTAAGTATATTCCTATATCTCTGATAACAGTCACACATAGTAAACATAGCAAAGAGCAAAGGGTTTATTATTTCACTCTCTCAAATGTACTTGAAACAAAGAAAAACAATAAACTTCACACATATTTTAATAAAAATGAGATCAAGAATTACAGAATATAGTTGTCCACCCTTATTTATGGGGTACACATTCCAAGATTCCCAGTGGATGCCCAAAACTATGGATAGTACCAAACCTTATACAGGCTATACATGAATTTCTTTTTCCCTCTTCACAATTTCATGGATAGAGAATTCGCTCTTATTACAGATCTTAGCAGCCTCAGCTTATGATTCCCCTCCCCTCTTCCTTATTAAATCAAGAACTTTCACCTTTTCACATAAAGGAAGTACTTTACAGCTTCTAGCTGGCATATGCTGATTGCCAGCATTGCTACTTTTGCAGCTTTGGGGCCATTACAAGCAAAATAAAGGTTAATTGTACACAATCACTGCAATACCGTGACAGGCATTCTGACAACTGAGGTGGCTACTGAGTGACCGAGGAGCAGGTACTGCATAGATATGCTGAACAAAGGGAGGATTCACATCCTGAGTGGACAGAGTGGGACAGTGTGAGATTTCATGAGAAACTGTGAAAAGCGAAGCCTTGGACAAAGGGAGACTACTGTAATATCACATAGAGGTCCAAGAAAGTGGTTTTGAGAGCCTCACCACATCAATATTCCTAACACTGCAAACAATGCCCCTTTAACACCAATATTATTCTCTGAAAAGGCCCTGCTTGAGTTAAAAACTCACCATACTCACAGTTCCTTATGGTACTAATCACAGTGCCAGAAGGGAAGAAACAGCAGTTCAACAGTGCCAGGCTCACGACAGTCACTCCGAGTTTGTTTAATTGTACAAGTTGTATGTCATCGTACTTGAATTACGAATGAACTAAGGAGGCCTGAAATACCAAGTACAGCTGAAGATATGCTCAAATGCAATAAAAATGCAAAATGTGTAGGCAGGCTAAGCTAGGAATTGCTTTCCAAGTTCCAATACACTGAGCCATAGAGTAAAAAGGTATATTTAGGAAATGTAAAAAGAAGTACACCCAAGTTCCAACTTCCAACAGTTTGTGGCCTCAAATTAAATTGTAAGTTGCTTGAACTTACTCTGCCCTTTTACACAGAAACTTTTCTAAATGGTGGCTAGGTTCCTGAGCCAACTCCAACAACCCATTTAACCCATATATGGATAAACAGTAGCATTAGTTGTCCCACAGGATTGCTAGCTAAAGTTCAGGGCTCCTAGGGGTTATGCTTCATTATCTGCTCCTCTTGAATTAAATGTCTCCTGGGGTGATCTCAGCCACCTTCACCAGTTTAACCAACCATCACTCACCAATGACTCCAAGATCTGTACCTCACTTACCACCTCTGTTAAAAGCTCCAAATCTGTATTATGTAATATTTCACTGTTAATTGGATGTTTTCACCTGGAATACCCACACACTTCAACAAGCTCCAAACTCTATTATATCTTGCTCTTCCCTCACTTTCTTGTACTTGATCCTTTTCCTATTCACTTGTCCACCAATCCTGTGGTCATCTCAGCCATCACCAATTTCACGACAGTATGTATTTGAGGATGCTGTTTCTCTGCCTGAAGTCATGCTCTCCACCACCTTAGAGCCAGAAAAACTCTTTATTCTTCAAGACCCAGCTCAAATGTTATCTCCCCTCTGAAGACTGTCTGACCCCCTTGACTGCCACAACCCCAGAACAAGCAAAGTCAGTATTCCCTAATCTGCTCTTTTAAAAGTGCAGATGCATTCTCTGATACTGTACTTCCCTTGTTGGGGTCTCACAATTTGCTACACATGTATTTCCTATGAAATTGTCAGCATTACCAGGCCAGGAATTACTGTATTCCTAATGTTATCTCCTACAGCCTACTACTAAGACAGGGAAAATAGGCAGTTCTGAATTTGAGAAACTGGCCCTAGAATCAGACAACCCAGGATGCAGGTGCTTATCTCTCTAAATACTTTTTTATTTGTCTAGTAAGTTCCTGGGACATATCTAATTTATTTTTTTATTTTAATTTTTTATTTTTTCATAAGCTATTGGGGAGCAGGTGGCATTTAGTTACATGATTAAGTTTTTTAGTGGTGATTTGTGAGATCCTGGTGTACCCATCACCCAAGCAGCATACTCTGAAGCATATCTGTAGTCTTTTATCCC